CCACACCGAGTCCCTAAACCCAGGTTCCTCAGGCCCTAACCCACCACTCACCTTCCACACCCTGCAGATTCGCTCCCGTGGTGTGCCCTATGCCTCCTGCACCGGCACCCAGAGCTTCTCTACTTTCCGGTAGCCCTACGAATGGGGTCCATGATAGGTGAGACTGGAGCTTTTTACAGAAATAAAACATGGAGTTTGATTATGTGATCTGTCGTTTGGTGACTGCTAGAACTGAGATGGGCAAGAGGCTTTCCTGGATGGCTGGGAGAAGGATCCCTCTGGCACTGAGGCTATCTCCTACCATGCTAGGAGATTTGTCAAGATGAGGAAGGTGGGATGGGGAGAAAGGGAGAGGTAGTCAGATATGTCTTCCCAGTCCTCTCCAGCCAGTATTAAGGACCAGGATGGAGCTCAGCTCCTTCTAAGTGTGTATGCAGAAGCACTTTCATCTCACAGGCTGGAGACCCAAGCCCACCTCAGCCACTAGCCAGATGCTTTGTAACTTGGGTAGTTATCAGGCATGGTTTCATTTCCTTTGTTTCTGGTACTGAACCAGTTGCTGAGGGACTGACGAGTAACAGGTGTGGAAACATTTGACCCAGGGACAGCTTTGCCAGTGAGTTCCTGTTTGGTTGCCACTCCCAGCAGTAAGTAAAATTCACCCATTCCTTCCCTAAGGCAGACAGGAGATAAAAGATTCCTGTAGCCACTACAAGCATCCAAGAACCTGTCCTTTTTTTTTTTTTTTTTTTTTTTTTTTGGATATTTTATTTAGAGACAGCGTCTCAGAGTTGCTTAGCACCTCACTTTTGCTGAGGCTGGCTTTGAACTTGTGATCCTCCTGCCTCAACCTTCTGAGCCACTGGGATTACGGGAATGCATCATCATTCCTGGCTGTCTTTTATCCAGTGCTTTAGAATCTGGGTTGGAAGTAGATATGAGACTATAGCTGTTATTTCCTCCCATAAGCTCCTCTACATTGCCCCTCTCTTCCCATCCTCCTCTGCTTCCACCTCTCCTCTGGTAGAGCTGCACACACTGTCCTGGAATTTCTACCTCCATCTAGCCCCCTAGGCAAGCCTTGCTGCTGTTGGGGGCGGGGGTTGCTGTACTCTGATTGGCTGCTCTGCCTCCACCCACATTGAGGCTGCACAGGGCACACTAGGGGACCCAATGCCAAGGGTGGAGTTATGCATCTTGGCAAGGACACTGGGGAGGAGGGAAGGAGTCCAGGGTTCTTGAAGCTCACCAGTGACAGGAAGAAAGTTATAAAAGAAAGGGAAGGATCAGGTGCTAAGGGAGGTCACAGACACTAGGCAGAAGGAATAGAGCCACTCAGGATTGAGATTAGGAATGGAGTCTATAAGGGAAAAAGAGGTCAGGGCCTGGGAGAATCAGAGAAATCAAGAGGAAGCAATGGAACAGAGGGCAGAGCGTCACCAAAGGACTGAGGGCTCAAATGCTTTGCAGTACTGGTTCCATGGTGCTTTTGGTAGGTATTACAGCAAGTGCCTGCCTATTGGCCCATGGCTGCCCTGGAGGGGCAGAGACCAGAGAAGAACAAGCAATAGGCAGGGGCAGTAGTGGGCTCAGGGTATGGGGTTGCTGTAGTGTGTCACTTGGGTGCCTTTCCTTTGTAGCAGAGACCATGCCTTTTATTGGTCAAGACATCCTCTTGTTCTTGAGCTAGTGCTCAGGTACCAAAACTTCTCTGAACTCTACTCCTTGTGATGGCTAATGTGAATTGTCAGATTGATTAGATTAAGAGATGCCTAAAATTAAGAGGCTTCTGAGTGTCTCATTGAGGGTGTTTGTAGGAATGATTTGCATGTGGGACAGCAAACTGAGGCCGAGACCCACCCTACTGTGAGGAGCTGTCCAGTAGGTTGGGAGCTTAGATGAAACAAAAACTGGAAGAACAAGGAAACAGCAGCAGACACAGCTCAATTCTTGAGAAGTTCTTCGATTGCTGTTGCAATTGCCTGAGGACATCAGTCACCAGCTCTTTTGCTCTTCCAAAGCACATTCTAACCAAGGACTCACCAGGGAATTTCCCAAATTGGGGCTAATCACTGATCCCTAGTGTTCAGAGGCTCCAGTTCTTGGACTGAGCAGGTACTGGTTCTTCTGGCTTTCCAGCCTGCAGATGATCTCTATAGGGCCCTTTTATAATCAAATCTATATCCTATTGATTTCTCTAGAAAACCATAATACACCCCTGCTGTGAGCTCTATAACCAGGCCAGTACACACCACGTCTGGACACAGAATGGGACTTTTTTGTATGGCCAGTCCCACCCGCCATCCTGCCACTGACTGCATGGGCTCCTGCATTAACTGAGATGTACATCCTGCACTAGTTCAACCCTTCAAGCATTTTATAGCCACCAAACCCCTCAGTATCCTGGTTCTTCTGCAATGAACTAGGCCTCCATCCAGCAATTTTTTTTTTTGGGGGGGGGGGGCGCGGGGGTATGCTGGGGATCAAATCTAGGACCCTGTGCATGATAAGTGCTCTACCACTGACCTACACACCCCAGCCCTCCAAAAAAATTTTGTACCCACTGAGCCACATCCGTAACCCTTCCCCAACTTTTTTTGAGACAGGTTCTCACTGAATTGCTGAGGCTGGCTTTGAATTTGTGATCTTCCTTCCTCAGCCTCCCAATCAGTTGGGATTGCAGGCATGCACCACCATGCCCAGCCAGTCCTTTAAAAATTCACACCAGCTTTGGCCCCAAAACCCCTGACTTTGGTACAGCACCTGTGTTGTCCACACTTTATAGTACACAGTCACCCACCCACTCTGGCCTAGGTGACTTGTGGGAATCCAGGAGAGTAGCTGATTTAGGTAAAACCTACGCTGTCACCAGCACCAGGACAATCTGACCTCCTTCTCTGCCTTCAGGATCATCCATCCCATGAGAGCAGTTTACTTCACTTCTAAGATAACTCAAGAGTTACATTAGAGACTGGAGATTATGTTATTCTCATGCCCATCCCTGCTCCTTTGTGGGGCCATCCTCACAGGCACATATCTTAGATCCCTACAGCTAGTTACGGCCCTTGGCACAGTGACACATGCCTGTAATCCCAGCAATTTGAGAGGCTGAAGCAGGATACAAGTTCCAGAACTATCTCAGCAATTTACTGATACTATCTCAAGATAAAAAGGCTAGAGAGATGGGGCTGGGGTTGTAGCTCAGTGGTAGAGTGCTTGCCCAGTATGTGTGACACACTGGGTTCAATTTTCAGCATCACATATAAGTAAACAATGGTCCATTAACAAAAAAAAAAAAAAAAAAAAAAAATTAAAAAGGGCTGGATATGTAGCTTAAGGGTAAAGCATCCCTGGGCTCAAATTCCAGTACAGGGGTGGGGGGATCCTATGGCAGTTACTTTCATCTGACAATCTCAAGACTTAAAGAGGAAAAAACACACATTTTGACTCCATTTAAATAAAATGTCCCAAATAAGCAAATCCATATAGACAAAGAACAGATGAATTCAGGGGCACTTGTCTACTGAGCCACATCCCCAGCCCTATTTTGTATTTCCTTTAGAGATAGGCTCCCACTGAGTCACTTAGCACCTCACTATGCCCAGCATAGGGTTTCTTTTTGAGGTTTCAAAAATATTCTCACATTGTGGTAATAGTTGCACAATTTTGTAATCATACTAAAAACTACTGTTCATCTTAAACACATAAATTTTAAGGTATGTGAATTACATTTCAATAAAGCTATTACTCAAAACAAAAAACCCTCAATGAAATCCAATATCTTCTCTGGGTCCTTGCTGAAGGGTGACTGAAGGCCTGGGGTGGCCAGTACTTATTTGGACATGTATATCCTCTGATCACCAGTCATCTGAGAAACTCCCCACAACTCTAGATAAAGAATAAATTCTTGCTTTTCCAGCCCACCCCCCTTGCAGCCATGTGACCAAGGCCTGGCTAATCAGAACAAAGCAGGAGAAAGTGGAAAGTACATCTTGGTGGCACTGAGGCACCTCCACATCAATATTCTGGTTCTGAGAGAGTTACAGAGTATTTTTTTAATATTTATTTTTTAGTTATAGGTGGACACAGTATCTTTATTTTATTTTTATGTGGTGCTGAGGATCAAACCCAGTGCCTCACACATGCTAGGCTAGCACTCTACCTCTGAGCCACAACCCCAGCCCAGAGTATTTTTAATGACTAGACTTTATCCCTATCTTCTTTCCCCCAATTTGGATCTTCTCTCTAGCATTCTCAGTAGTTCTGATACTTAGATAGTTTTCTGCTTTTAACCAGCCAGAATCCATTCACTGACTTAAAAAAAAAAAAATAGGATTGTCACACATGACACCAGGGACCCTGTAGCACTCTCCTGGCAAGGCAAACTATACCGGTAGCTATGATCCTAGGCTTACAATCAGGGGAGAGGAGCATTTCAGCTTCCATTTCTATCATCAGGACATCTTTCTCCCATTTCAGAGACTTCAAGCAATAGATATAGTTGTTTTTTTAATTTTCCCTTTTGTGGTACTGGGGATACTTTACAACCAAGACACATTCCCAGCCCTACCCTACATTTTTCCTTGGGTCCTGAGGATTGAACCCAAAGGTACTTTACCACTGAGTTAGATCCCTGGCCCTGCCTTTTTTTAATTTTGAGACAGGCTCTTCCTAAGTTGTTTAGTGCCTCACTAAACTGCTGATACTGGCTTTGAACTTGTGATCCTCAAACCTCAGCCTCCCCAGCTGTTGGGATTACAGGCATGTGCCACTGTGCCCAGTTCAGCAAAGCTTTATGTCCCTACCTCCTATTTCCTCTTACAATCAAAACCAAGTAGTTCTGTGGGAGTGGCTGACCCTTTAAATAACTGTCATCTTTTCAGGACCCAGATTTAAGTAGGAAAAGAGTCTGATCTGACTTTTCACTTGTGGAAGGTGTAGGGTTGGTTGTTTATCCCTGTAAGTGTGGCCCACTAAAAGAGTTCTACAAAACAGTAAAATAATGAAAAATAACAGATGTTTATGAAATGATTCCTATATAAAGTCCCAGCCCTATTGCCACAGACTTCATGGTCCCATTTCTTCAGTACCAGAATCACTGGTTTAAGACTAGGATGAAAGAAAGGCAGAAGGACATAATGAACCAAATTCAAATACAGGCAGTGTGACGTAGCAGAAGGCTGAGCTATTCTTCTTGTCCGGCTCTAGGGGGAGTCCAAGAGCCCTAATCTTCTGAGTTCAAGATTGGATGTGATCTTTCCTTGCCCTTGAACAGCAAAGAACCAGGAGAATGAGCCCAGAGATCCATGTCTCCACAGACCCTTGTCTCCCTAGGCAGTGCAGACAGATGACAGTTCTTCAATACTCTCTGCTCAAAGGGAGATGTCTCTTGTCCTTGCCTGCATTTCGGTGCCTCTTTCGACTCAAGAAACTCTCCAGCTTCTTGCTGCGCTTCAGCTCCTTGAACTTCTCAGCTAGGACCAACTGACGCTGTTCAGCTAGATTACAAGGAGAAAGCAAGTTGGTGAGCAAAGGAGGAAGCCCCCGTCTTTTCCTTTTCCCTGGTTGGTAATTTCTAGTCCCATGCTGGCATATGTGAGTTGTTTGGAGCTCTCTGATGTGTGGGAAGCCAACTTTTGTGTGTGTGTGTGTGTGTGGTACTGGGGTTTGAACCCAGGGTCTCAAGCATGCTAGAGAAGCACTCTATTACTGAGCTACATCCCAGCTTAAGCCAACGTTTTTATTTATTTGTTTGTCTAATATTTTATTTTTTAGTTGTAGTTGGACACAACACCTTTATTTCACTTATTTATTTTTATGGGTGCTGAGGATCCAACCCAGGGTCTCGCACGTGCGAGGCGAGCACTCTACCACTGAGCCATAACTCCAGCCTGATTAAGGCAACTTTTTGTATGACCCAATCTTACTCCACTGAACCAACTGTGAACTCCTGCTCCTTCTATGTGCCCTGCCCAGCATAAATGTGTATGTGTGTATGCAGGGGATACAAGCATCAATCCTGCCATAATCTAATTAGGGATACAAGAGTGGTTATAAATAACTCTTCCTTACTATTCCACTTTCCTCCAAGTTATTGTGGGATCCAGCCTTCATGCATTCTTTTTTGTTGCTATTGTTGTTCCTGAGGATTTAACCCATGGCCACTTAACCACTGAGCTGCATCTCTAACCCTTAAAAAAATTTTTTTTGAGACAGGGTCTCACTAAATTGCTTTGTCTGGCCTTGAACTTGCAATCCTCCTGCCTCAGCCTCACAAATCATTGGGACTGGGGCTGGGGTTGTGGCTCAGCGGTAGAGTGATCACCTAGCGTGCACGAGGCACTAGGTTCAATCCTCAGCACCACATAAATGTAAAATAAAGATATTGTGTCTACCTAAAACTTAAAAATAAATAAATATTTTTTAAAAAAATCATTGGAATTACACTTCATGCGTTTTTAAATGGGCTCATGGACCCCCAACACAGTACCCTGCCAAAATGGCCTCCACACCCACCCCTGTAATCAGCCTGCAAGAGTCGTGCCCCACTCACATTTCTTCAGGAAGTATGGTCGATGACCCTGCTGGGCTTGAGTCCGCCGCTCCTGCTTCAGGGCCAGGCGAAGCTCCTGCTGCCGCTTTCTTTCCTGCTGTGCCATTTCTTGCTGTTCCTGAGGAACAACGATGAGATGAAATGAGATGTCATTAACTTTAACTTTAACTGCACTCACCACCCACTCGCCATATCATTTACGCACCATTCGCTGAAGTAGCTGCTGAAGTTTCTCATGTTCCTCCCCTGAAAGGTGCTTCTTCAACTGTTTTTTCACAAGCTCCATATTGGAAAATTAACCAGATGGTTAGTATTTTATAAATGTTAATTGAAAGTCTGTGCCAAGCATTGTTCTAAGAAGTTTACACTTTGACACAGGAATTTTATCTTCCCTTTATGTATGTGTGGTGCTGGGGATTGATCTCACAGCCTCACAGGTGCTAATAAAGCCCAAGTTCTACCACTGAGCTACAGCCCCAGCCCTTATTATCCTTTTCATAATTTGAAAGCTGAAGCAATGTTAAGTGAAATAAGTTTGGCACAGAAAGACAAAAACTGCATGTTTTCTTGTTCTCTTATATGTGGAAGCTAAAGCTGATCTCAAAGAAGTAGAGAACAGAATAGCAGTTACTAGAGCCTGTGAAGGGTGTAGGGGAGGGAGGGACAGAGAGAGGATGCTTGACAGGTATAGGGGTATAGCTGGACTGGCCAGAATGGTGCACACCTGTAATCCCAGCTACTCAGGAGGCTGAGGCAGAAGGATCACAGATTTGAAGCCAGTTTGGGCAACTTAGCAAGACCCTGTCTCAAAATAGAAATAAAAAGGATTGGAGATGGGGCTGGGGTTGTGTCTCAGCAGTAGAGCCCTCACCTAGAACGTTCGAGGCACTGGGTTTGATCCTCAACACCACATAAAAATAAATAAAATAAAGGTATTGTGTCCAACTACCACTAAAGAATATAGTTTTTTTAAAAAAGGACTGGAGATGTAGCTCAGTGGTAGAACACCCTTGAGATTCTATCCCAACTACCTAAATAAAAGAGCTGCCCCCCACCCCGCCCACCCCACCACCACCATCGGTGCAGCAGGCGGGGTGTAGTTAGATAGGAAGATGACTTCCAAAGCTGTACAGCACAGCAGGATAACTATGGTTGACAACAGTGAAATGAACATTTCAAAACAGCTCATACATTTTTTTTTTGGTGTGTGTATGTGTGTGTGTGTGTGTGTGTGTGTAGGGGATTGAACCCAGGACCTTGTGCATGCAAGGCAAGCACTCTTACCAACTGAGCTATATCCACAGCCCCAGCTCATACAATTAAAAAAAAAAAAAAAAGTTTTTTTTAGTTGTAGATGCACACAATATCTTTATTTTATTATTTTTTTTAATGTGGTACTGAGGGTCGAACCTAGTGCCTCATACATGCTAGGCAAGTGCTCAACAGCCCCAGCCCCAGCCCATAGAATTTTTAACATTCCCAACAACATCAAATTATATGTTGTGGGTGAAAAATATTCCAGTTACCCTCATCTGATCATTACACATTGAATATGTATACTGAAATGCCACACTGTATCCCATAAACATGCAATTACTATGTGTCTATTTTAAAAGATCTTAATTTTAAAAAGTAAAGCTTCCTGCCAAGCCTGGTGCCACATGCCTATAATTCCAGCAGCTCTGGAGGCTAAGGCAGGAGGATCATGGGTTCAAAACCAGCCTCAACAAAAGCAAGGCACTAAGCAACTCAGTGAGACCCTGTCTCTAAATAAAATACAAAATAGGGCTGGGGATGTGGCTCAATAGTCAAGTACCTGAATTCAACCCTCAGTACCCACCCTCTCCCTCCCCCAAAAAAGTAAAGCTTCCAGCTTTCCTCTGTCTACTCTCTAACCTCTGCCCTGGTTCCCCATCTCCTAAAATACTCATGAACCAATCTCAAGCTTATACCTCTTTCTCTTTGGCTCGGATGTCATTTAAGAATTGATATGTTTTGTCAAACACCTCAGGATTATATTCTCCTGATAGATCATCAAAGCGGGGGTCCCGGGCCACCTTTGGAGAAAGTAGAGAGAATATAAAATACTGTTCAGTCTCCTTTCACTGAGAAACTGCTCCCTGCCTCTTCCTCACCTTTTTACTGACTGGAACAACCTGACGTAAAAATGGCACTCGAACCTTGGCTGACATCTCCAGAGGCCTAAGGAGAAATTACAAGGATGGGTCAAGGAGACTCCAGTCTTGGTCAAAGGCTTCCCATCTGCAGCTCAGTAGTAAAGGACCCCTGGTTTCAAACACCAGTACTGTTTAAAAAAAAAAAAAAAAAAAGAGGGAAAGCAAGCAGACCCCTATTCAAGGTCCTGGGTATCCAACTCCTAAGGTAAGCCTTACTTCTCACCTGTGCTTATCTGCAACACATGCATTTCGGACAGGTGGTCTAGAACATTGCTTCTTAGTGCCGTTTCCAGCTACCAATTGTTTGTATGTTTTGGTTCCCACTTGGCTCTGCAATTTCAACAGTTCCTCAAATGACATGTCAGCTATACCTGCAAAAGTGGGGAGGATTACACAATTCAGCTTAGTATCTCCCTCTGTAGAAAAGACATCATCTCATTCCCATTCCTCAGATCCTTTCCAACATCCCTATCAGATCAATCATTATTTATAAGTCCCATACAGCACAGGCTGTGATTATGATGCTATAATACTACTCAACTCTTCAAATGTTTTAGCTACCTGGAGCCTCATCTTACTAACAAAGGTATATGGCTGCTGGGTGAGGTAATCCCAGTGACTCAGGAGGCTGAGGCAGGATCATAAGTTTGCAGCCAAGCTCAGCAATGTAAGAGAGACACTAAGCAACCTAGCGAGACCCTGTCTCAAAATAAAAGGGGCTGGGGATGCTGCTCAGTGTTTAAGCACTCCTAGGTTTAAAAGAAAGAAAGAAAGCTATAGGATTGCCAGGTGCAATGGTGCACACCTATAATCCTGTGACTCAGGAGGCTGAAGCAGGAGAATCATATGTTCCAGGCTAGCCTCAACAACTTAGCCACACCCTCAGCAATTTCGAATGACTCTGTCTCAAAATAAAAAACAAAAAAGGACTAGGGATATAGCTCAGTGGTAAAGTACCCCCGAGTTCAGTCCTCAGTACCAGGGGCAGTAGTATCAGAGATCAACCAAGGATAGTCTCTCCCCTCCACCCTCTTTTTAAAATCATTCCATCATGGAGTTACCCCACAACAATCTGCCTCACTCATTCAGTTACCACTGCCACGGTCCTGGTTCATACTTTCAGCATTTCTCAACTCATCTCATTCTTATGCCCTAACCTCCTAACCGGACTCCCAATCTCCAACCTTTCTCTTTCCAAAGCTATGTTCCCCACTTTGCCTGAGGAGCATCAAAACAAAATTGACCTTATCACTCCCACACATAAATTTCAGATCATGTCACTTCTGAACTCAAAGCTTCCCAATGGCTTCCATCCTACTCAGAGTGAAAGTCATTTCTTATGAAGGTCTGAAATCCCCAAGCGACCTGGCATCCTGTAATGTCTCTCCTAATCATCTTTCACTCTTCTCCAGCCAACTGGCCTCCAACAGTTCCTGAGCAGTAAAATATGGTCCCATCCACCTCTGCTTGGTATGCTTCACCCAGATGTCTTACTTGCTCCCTCACTTCCTTCAAGCCTTTCCTGAAATATCTCCTTCCCAGGAAGGCTTTCTCTATCTTACTTTAAGTTGCAACCCCTACCTGCTTTCTCTCCACAGCCTTTAACCCCCTTCTTAAAAACTGATCTAAAAGGGGCTAGGGTTGTGGCTCAGTTGTCGAGCCGTTGCCTCACATGTGTGAGGCACTGGGTTCAATTCGCAGCACAGCAACAAAAGAATAAAACAAAGGGCGCTGGGGATGTGGCTCAATGGGTAGCGCGCTCTCCTGGCATGCCTGTGGCCTGGGTTCGATCCTCAGCACCACATACAAACAAAGATCTTGTGTCCGCCTAAAACTAAAAATATAAAATAAAATAAATTCTCTCTCTCTCTCTTAAAAAAAAAAAAGAATAAAACAAAGGTTCATCAACATCTAAAAAAATATTTTAAAAAACTGATATACAAGGGGGCTGGGGTGATGGCTCAGTGGTAGAGCGCTTGCCTAGCATGAGTGAGGCACTAGGTTCAATTCTCAGCACCACATATAAATAAAGTTCTATCAACAACTAAAAAAGTTAAGTTTAAAAAACTGATATACAATCCACATACCCTAAAATTCCCCCTTTTAAAGTATACAGTTCAGGGATTTATTGCTTTTATGTAAAATTTGTTTGCCTTTTCTTTTTATTGCCCTTCTGAAAGGTAAGCTACATGAGAAGTGTTTGTTGAATTCACTACAGTATCCCCCGCAGCCCTACCTCTGCCTGCACAAAGTGGATGCTTACTAAACGCGCTATCTGACTAAGTCTTCCCCAGAAAAATGGAGACCTTTCCTAGCTCCGTGGTACTGAACGTGTTTTCTCCTTGAGAAAACCGCTCAGAATGTTCTAAGCCCAGAAGCACCCACCCTCCGACCTTCCACAGCGCGGCGGGCGCTCTCTGAAATTTCCCAGTTTACCGAACAGTTTCTGCGGGTTCGAAGCCCCCGCCAGGCCGCGGCAGCCTCCCGTTTGCACCCAACCCCGCGCCCTCACCGCTCGACAGGTCACGGGCCACGGCTCCTAGCTCCACGTCCCCGCCCTCCGGAGACCCACGCGGATGCCGGACCGCGGGGACCGCGCGCGGACAGGTTCCCGGCATCGCTCTCGCTGCGTTCCGAGGAAAAATGGCGCTGCTTCCGCTCGCGGCGGCTCCCACCCCGCCTCTTCCGGCGACATGAAAGCTAGGTTTCAACTAGAGGGAGAGTGCAGAAAACAGGCAGCGCCACCGACGGTCTGGAGTAGAGCCCAAAGGCGTCCGCTCCGCAGAGAACGTCGCAACTTTCTGCCTGAGGCCCTGGGGCCAGGCCTTGGTGGCATTTCCTGATACTCTCGGTTGACAGACCTTCCCGCAGCACCCTGTCCCACAGGCAAACAACTGCCATCTCCACGGTATTTCATAAAAACACGCCACACGTTGGGAGGTTTTAATTCATTTTTATAAAATCCGAGCTGGCTGACATTCAGGGTACAGCAGCAGCTCAGGGAAGAGTGGGATTATCTGCTGGTCCCCGTCTCCCCACGTTGAGGAGAAGGAGGTTTCAAGCCAACAGCTGCAATTCCTCTCAGTTCCCAGTCAATGCTCAAGGCTCAAGCACGGGGAAGGGGTTGGGCATGGAGGGAGAGGGAAGCTCCTGAGGCTCACACACTGCTTGCTTCTCCTTCTCCCCATTCCCTTCTCTTCCCAGCAGAGCCTAGCTACCTGGCTGGCCTGGGGCAGGGCAGAGGCCCAGGAGCAGTCGGAGGGAGGTGGACAGGAACAGAGCACCAAGGGGAAGGGGCCCTTGGCCCAAGGGGGGGCAGGGAACTGGCCCTCCCCATTAGAGCTCCCCCACTGAATTCACAGCACAAAACACCTCTAGTCCAACAACTCCACGTGGAGGTATACTGAGTCCAGGGTCCAAAGGGGCAGGCAGGCGAGATGGGAAGGGGCAGTGAAGACAACAGCAGGCTCAGGAGGGAAGGCGGCAGAAGGCAGAAACTTCCTCCTACCCATGGGAGGAGACGATGGGGCGACTGATATTGCTGTTGGTGGTCATGGCATTCAGCTCCCACCTGGAAGGCCAGAAAGGACAGAAGAGGGAGCCCCCCCACCTAGAATTCCTCACCCAAAGCTATGAACACACAAGTCCCTCCAAGCTAATAAAGCTCAATTCCCTACAGCCACCTCTTCCTTACAACCAAGTGAGGTTTAATCATCACACCCCACCCAGGAGCAAATCCAATTCCACCTACTCCACCTCTAAGCTCTATGGATTTCCTGTTTATGTTTATATATGCATATTTACATGTATGTATATATTTTCATTCCTGAGTCCAAACACCTGGGATCTGTGTGTTCATCTCAATAAACATCCCAACCTACTTTTCCTGCTCTGGTCAGATTTAACCTGGCAGCCTGTTTACCTCAACCCCACCAGTAACATCTACTTTTGCTGTCAACTCCCATCCTTTTAAGGCCCAGAGTAGGGTCTCCTATTCTTCCTGAGGCCTTCTCCATCCATCCCACCATATTAAAATTAAATTTCTCTACTACAATTTTTTTCATTCTACAAAGATTTACCAAGTAGCTACTAGGCCAACACAATGAACAATCTATTTGGTGTTAGGTACATGTATCAATCTTTAGCCAGTCTGGGATCCATCAGTTCAGACAAGTGTCACCAAATTCTGAATACAAAGACCCTCAACAAGTAAGAATTAAAGTGAACTGACATAAAGGATAGTGGTTCAGAATAAACCAGAAGGGCAAAATGATACACAAAGTAACTTGGTGCTTAATCTGATACTAAGAATGGAATTCAAAGGCAAGAAGCCAGGAGTTCCCTTAATTCTGAAACTACGGTTAGAGGCTTCTAAACTTGCCTTTACTTTGCATGTAGGGTCTAAGACTTAATAGCTGTTCTCAGCATGTTAACAAAAACTATATAAGCTCAGGTATCAGGAAGCAATGCTTCTGAGTGTGGTTCAAAAAACTAGACTAGGGGGAGGGGGCAAAACCGGAAACTGAACCCAGGGCCTCCTGCCCAGGCTGATCTCAAATGTGGCAATCCTTTTGTTTTAGTCCCTGAGTACCTGAGATCATAGGCATGTGCCACTCACTGCACCCAGCTGCATTTTTCTTTTCCCTACATAACTGACCCACCTGACAGGTGACTGACTGTACACCTTCACCTCCTTCCACCTATTCCTCATATGAACACTAAGTCCCTAGCACAACCAAAAAAAAGTCTCTTCCATACTGAAACTAATCAGGTCACACCTGTGCTGCACATTCACCCTCAACCAATCCCTCCTTTGTAACCACTTGCTGTACCTGATGTCATGGGGCAAACAGGACTGGTCCAGATTATACTGAATCACCGCGAGTTTGCACAGAGTCTTCAGACTAGGGCCTTTAAAGAAGGAGTTGGGGTAGGGAAATGGTCAAAGCTGAGAAAAATTGCAGTCCTGGACACTACCACCCAAAGACAGGGACCCTGATGGCAGGAGCAGTTCAGAAATAACTTACTAAAGTCCAAAATGTGTAAATCAGAGTGATCTATGAGGTCAAATTCATCTCCCAGGCCTTCCTCGGGAGACGGGCTAAAGGGATCAAGAGAAATGAAGGTCAGAGGAAACACAACCCACAAGACCCTCTTGCTCAAATACCTCCCACTGTTAGTCACAGACTTAGGGCCATTCCTAAGCCTTCCCCTCTCCTCCTAACCTGGTACCCCCAAAGAGGACAATCTTGTCACCAACAATGCAGCAGCACTGGCGCCGGCGGGGACATGGCCCCTTCCCCTTTGGTTCAATTTTTTTCCAGGTAAAAGATACTAAAAGAGAAGTTAATGTATAAATTCAGTACCTGTCTTGTCCAAATATCTTCACCCCTCCAGCCCCTCACCTACTCAGGATTATTTTTCTTTTCCTCCCACCTCAATTACTCCTTGTGCCTCCCCTAAAGGCAGTGCTTTTTACCAGGGTTAAACTTCCAGAGATCATGGAAGTGCCGGTTCAGCCTTGCATTATAGCCACCAAAGATGTACAGCTCTCCATTGTAGCCAACTGGAAAAACAGCAAAATGTTCAGAGTGTGAGATCTGATAGGGGACTCCACAAGCAAGTAACACACTCACAGGCTGAGTGGCTCCGGCGTCCCTCAGGCAGCACTGGAGTGGGTGGGCAGTCCAGCCAGGCCTCAGTTCTGGTGTCAAAGACGCGAATACGGTTGCAGTAAATCTCATTGTTAGAATGGAATGGCCCAAAGCGGTCAGCACGGCCTCCAAAGACATACATGTGATTGCCCAGCATTGTGGCTGAGTGGAAGTCCCTCCAGCGTGCAGGATTGCCCTGAGCAGGTGGCAGAGAGATGGGGGAGAACTTCAGCACAGACACTGAAAAGAGATCTGTTCAATTTGAATTTTCTATGATTTCTATGAAGGGGGGGATCCAGGGGAAAGAAATGCTGACCTTTGTACAAACAAGGGTCCATGTCATGGTGCTGGTATCCAGCTTATGAATGTCATTGGAAAAGCAGTCCGCCTGAGAGGGAAGAGAAAGGAAAGAACAGAGAGGGCCAGTGGTCACTCTCTGACTTTCTACTCCTTCCCTCAAAACTTGCTAACAAGCCAAAAAAGCCTCCAATTCTACCATGCTAAATCCCCCTTCCTCTTTCTCATTTCCACACTAACCCCCTAGCTTCCTCCCAAACTTACCAACTGCTCGTAGCCCCCAAAAATATACATGATCTTGCCCAGGACACAAGCTGAATGTCCATCCCGGGCACCAGGAACCGTTCCTGACACTCGGGGTGTGGACCATTTGTGAGTATCTGAAGGAGGTGAGAGAATGACAAAGGTCAGCAATCTCTGACACTCCCTCCTAAACTCAGGGGTGCCCTACTACCCAGTACCCCCAACCATACCTTTCCCACGCCCCTAAGGCACCATTTGGCAGAACACAGCTTCTCTTTGAGACCCATACTCACTGACATCAAAGGCATAGAGTACGTTGCAGGCCCCTTCGGTGTCATTCCGCCCACCCCAAAGGAAGACTGTGTCATCGATGAGAACGGTTGAGTGTCCATACCGCATGTAAGGTACCACAGGAGCTTGCCCACGGATGGCAGGCCTCACTGGAGGCAGCTTTGTCCAACGCAAGGACACTGTGGGCACAGCTCTGCTCAGCCTGTTGTCCCTCCCTCCAGGACGTCCAATTTTTCTCAAACCAGACATTTATCCCCAATCTCTTTGGGCACAGGGACCACCACCAAACCTCATCCAGTCACCTTTTCCCCTCCCTGATATGGGCACCTAGGGACAGTGCTGGCTTTGGCTTACCTGCATTGAAAATGTGCACATCTATCTGACGCAGTGTCTCGTAGTCTTCACCAGAGCAGTAACCCCCGAAGGAGTATACCCGATGCCCAACAGCCACTGCAGCATGGTTCACCCTGCGGGGCCCGCCCTCCAGATGCACTGTCCACCGTAACATCCCCTGGGTCACTGGTTACAGCAACATGCCCCCCCGGCACGGCCTGCTGCCTCTGCTACCTGCACACAAGTCAGGGCCACAGGCTCCTCAGGCAAGGCTTCTGCCTGGCTCTTCGTGACTGCCCAGGACCAGCCCCTGCCTCCAAGTGTCACCCTGGTGGCCCTCCCACACCACCCCTCTGCAGTAACAGTAGTCACAGCTCAGGTGGCTGGCCTTGTTCCAGAACGGCTGCTGAGGTCAAGGAGCTAGCCCTGGCTCTGTGTTCTCCCACTGCAAAGGGTGGGGCCACCTTATACTAATGCCAGTTCAGAATCTGGTGATCATGGTTGCCCCTATTCATACAGACTTTACCCTGTTCTTGGCTTGGCACAAGCTCTAAGCCCCCTTCCTGGGCTCGGTGTGTTCTCTTGACTCTGGCTCTGCTTACTGCCACCTCTCTAAGAATCTCTATGCTCTTAAAGGTGGGGAAAGGGATCCCAAAATACTCATAGCTATTAATAGCCCAGCCAGCTCCAGATAGCCCATTGAAACTGGCAAGGGTGCTTTAAAGAAAAAAAAGCTTTTAGGCTTTGAGTGTAACAGTGCCCCTACCCAGGACAGAGAACTCCATGTTACCATGGTTGATTATCCCCTTACAGCAAGTCCTTTTCAAGCTGAGCCACTGTCACTGGGGTCACCCAGGGTGCCCACAGGCACGAGGAGTTCCTTTGACAGCTGTGCCTGGTATGCTGCCAGGACTATAAACTTAAGCCAGAAAGTTATGTGTGTGCTGGTGTTTGGGGACAGGGAAGAGGAGTTTTCTTTTTCTGCCACTTCCCCAACCCTGCTATTATAGTAGAGAACAAAGCCATTTCCAGCAGCTCTTCCTCTACTTGGGGTCCCTGAAAGGGGTACAGGGCTGGCAGTGTGCACTGGAAAGGGGATGGGAAGCAAAAATGCTTTTGAGCAGAACAAGAGAAAGACTGAGGCACAAGAGGTCATGGTCTCTTAAAGGTAACCTGCCAAGCTAGTGATAATGGGTACATTTGAGGGCTCTTTCAAGCAAATCCTCTTGCAACTGGCAATGCCTTTGCAGGCAGACACCTGCTGGGTTTGGTGGATCATCTGCTCCCAGTTCAAAAAGCCTTGGCAGAGAGAAGAACCAGGAAGAAACTCAGACACACACACACAAAAAAAAAAAAAAAAAAAAGAAGAAGACACAAACAAACAACAACAAAACTCAAGTAAGGGAGAAACCCCTTGCAGGAAAGAGACATGGCTTTCAGTTGGCTTTCCAGTCCCACCCACCCAGCCTCCCCCAACCCCACATCCCATGCTTTAAATAGCCATCCCGCAAAACCTGAAATAGCCACAGCCAAGCTACTCTCACTTCGGTTACTCCAACTCACAATCCAAAATATCTTGGATCTGGGTTTGTGGAGTTAGGAGGTTGAAGGGTTTAGGAATGCAAGTATTTCATCTTCCCTCACAGTCTCTACTCTCCCTTCAAAAAAGTCCAGGTAAAGTTTAAGAATGCACACAGAATAAACAAGCAATTCCAGCCAAAGGGTTGGAGAGAGAATCTTAGCTTCTCCTCTACAAAGACAACGCAAAGCGAGACCAAGCCAGAAGGTCTAAGAGGCTCTTCTTATCTTTGGGTCTCCCCGATCCTCCATCACTATGTCATTTTCAAGCTCCTTCCATTTCCTTAATGTATATCGATCCCTTTCCCTGGTTTCTTGCAAGACCCACGCCCCATTTGTGGCCCTTCTTCTGAGAGCTTTGCAGTTTTCTCCTCCCACCACTACAAGAACACCCCAAGAGCCCTCCACCATTTTTCTACCTCTACGAAAGGAAGAAAAACTAACACTGATTGTCTCCTTTCGGCCACAGATATTCCTCTGAATGACTCTGTTTTCTTCCACCCTACTCGGACTCCCCTCCCCCACAACACAAGGCACCCCCTCCTTTCATTATGCTCAACTTCCTCGCTTCCTTTTAACCCGTCTTCCTCCCAATTTCCTTCAATGTCTCCTTTAGCCACCAGGTCTCTCCCACCTTCCAACCACCATCCTCCTCCAGTCCTTTCCCCATTAACACTCTCCTTTCCCATCATCCCCCTAGTTCCCTCCCCACCCCCACCTCATCATTCAGGCCCCTCCCCCACGACTCCAGCCCTTAGCAGAGGCGTCGCCAGCCCCCCTAATTCTTCCTTGCCCCTCAACCCATCCCAGGCTACCTGCCAGGCCGGGCCGGGGCGGGGCCGCGGGTCCTCGCGCTGCCAGCAGCCTAGAACCAGTTGCGCGCCAACCGACGCCTAAGTCCCCAACGAGATAAACACAGCCAGGCTCCGTCCTTCCGGCGGGCAGCGGGGCGCGCACGTGCAGTCTGAGTTACGTCCCGACGCCTTCCGGGACTTGTAGTCCACAGGTTTCCTGAGGGCCGTAGGGGCAGGAGCCTACGGAGAGATTATGCGCATGTGCACATATGTGTCAAGGCCGTGGGGTTCACTGGGTAATGTAGTCCTTTGTTGTCCGGGCAGGGGATGGCGGAGGCGGGGCTAGGGGCGGACTCTTCGTCCTCGTTCGCGTCAGTCCAGAGCACGGGGCGGGGCTGGAGGACTGGGAGCCCCGGCACGTCCTGCCCCACCGGAAGTGAAGGTGCGGGTCCGACGGTGGGCTCTGAGAGGGTGAGGCGCGCGGAAACACTGGCGCTGAGAATCGGTGGGGCGGGTGGGGACGCCGCAACTGGGACCTTTTGAGGGGCGCCCCGGGAGCCTGAAGGGGTTTTGTCAGGCGGTTTAGAGGGGAACCCTTAGGAGAAAGGAGGAGGGGGCGGGTATGCTCTGTCCTGGGGAGACGTGCGACCTGGGGTTCTTTAGTCCGGGAGGGGCGTGGTGGGGAAGCCGGGGTTCTGGAAAGCTGGTAGGGTCTCTAGTTGGGCTGTTTATTTAGAGACTGGGAGAAAGAGGCGGGTGGGGCCTGGTCCTAGAAAAGAGCCCGGACTTAAAAGGGGGAGCAACGAGAGACTGAAGGAGTAGGGGAGGATGCAGGAAACTTGGGGAGTGAAGCTGATTTGATGGAAACAAGGAGACTGTGAGAAGCTGGAAAATAAGATGAAGGCGCTCCTAGTTTCATCCAATCCCTATCCTCCTGCCTCCCTGTTCTTGCAGCCCCTGCCCGGATGGCCGCAGTAGTTCTAGGGGGAGACACCATGGGCCCTGAGCGTATCTTCCCCAATCAGACTGAAGAACTGGGGCCACATCAGGGCCCTACAGAAGGCACTGGGGATTGGAGCAGTGAGGAGCCTGAAGAAGAGCAGGAGGAAACAGGGGCAGACCCGGCTGGCTACTCCTACCAGCCCCTAAACCAAGATCCTGAACAAGAGGAGGTGGAGCTCGCACCAGTGGGGGATGGAGAAGATGTAGTTGCTGACATCCAGGATCGGATCCAGGTATAGTGGAGGGAATTGTTAAAAAAACAAATAAAACTGAGCTCCTGAAAATTAAAGCAGGACCCTACCTGTCTCTCTGGTTCCACAGGCCCTGGGGCTTCATTTGCCAGACCCACCATTAGAGAGTGAGGATGAAGATGAGGAGGGAGCTACTGCATTGAGCAGCCACAGTTCTATTCCCATGGACCCAGGTAAAAGGATCATTCTTTCATTAGGGAATAATAGACTGGCTTGAACCAAGAAAGGGAAATTACAGGGGAATAATTTATTCCTAGTTTGTAAGCTAGGATTTTGCTGACTTCAGAATCCAGGTGAAACATTATTCTGCTAGACTGGGGGATGAGCAGGGTTGCTTAGAAATAAGATGGATCTGGTGACCCCACCAGTTAAGGGCTCTGGGTTGATTCAAGAAATGGGAAGAGGAGCTGGGCCCATTGTTTCTATCTCCTAACCAGCCTCTGGCTATGATTTCAGAACATGTAGAGCTGGTGAAAAGAACAATGGCTGGAGTAAGCCTTCCTGCACCAGGAGTTCCTGCCTGGGCTCGGGAGATATCAGATGCCCAGTGGGAAGATGTGGTACAGAAAGCCCTTCAAGCCCGGCAGGCATCTCCTGCTTGGAAGTGACCATAGTAAGAACTGCCTCATCTTTCTACATTCCAGGCCAGAACTAGCACAGGACTGAATACATCCTCTGGTTGTAATATCTTACCCATCACCCTTTCACATCAAGGCAAATCAGACTTCTGCTCAGAGACCCACTTTATTCAGTTCTGTACATATGGGGACATTGGCCCAAGCCCAACCCACCTTAACATGTATCATTCTGTGGAGAATAAAGCACCCTATGTACACAGCCAAAAGCCACACTGCCTGTATTCCTGGAACCTGGGTCCAGCCCTCCCAGCCCCTTTCCTCTCCAAAAGGGACCAGTTAGGGCCTGCCCAGCATCAGCACAAACAAGGAAATAAATAGGTATTGGGGGGAGCTATGCTTGGGGCACTGCTCCCTGCTTTCTTCTTTCAACTTTGGGAATCAACAGCACAGGAAAGCAGTCAGCCACAGGGTGGTCCCTTCCATGTTTGTGATCCCAGGGCTGCTGCTCACCAGAGAGGGGGTGTAGGGTAGGGGTGATTATTTACACCCTCCCCTGCTTGGTCCATCTGGGCTCTATATTCATCATCTGTTGTCCACAGCCAGTACTTTTCTCCTTTAGGATCTCCATGTTCTCTTGAACAGGCAGGGAATAAAAGGAAATAATAAAACCCTGTCGGCCTGCACACTGCTAGGGCTGGGGGCTTATTTGTGCTGCTGGAGTTTGACTCCCCTCCAGCTACTCACTCCAGGGGCCAGTGGAGCTTGACATAACTTTGGTGAGAATAACCTCCTGCTCCTTCCTATATGCCTCTGCAGTCAGGGGAGAGGAAGAGACACCTAGAATTCAGGTGAGGATGAAGGGGAGAGGAGAGGAGCATATGTATTCCTGTGTGTATTTCTCAGCAACCTCATATAGCTGTGGGTTAGGAGCAGAAGGGGGACAGGCATCCCCAGGTTCTCTTTGCACTGAGCATCTTGATGCTCAGCCTGTCTGTACTAGCCACAGGGAGGCATGAACACGCTTTGGGGAGAAGAGAGACCACTGGGTGTCCCTGCTTCAAGTGCCTCCATCCTCTAGAGTCGCTAGCTAGAGAGGTGCTGCCTTTCCCCAAGTCAGCCAGTAGGGAACAGAGGGTGGAGGGCTGGGGCAGCGTCCCAGGGCTGAGTGGGCTGTGACCCTGTGGGAAGGTGAGGGGGTCAGAGAGCCTCTTGGCTGGCAGTTAGGAACTCTTCTGCCCGCTTATGGGCCTCCAGTGCCTTGATGGTGTAGACATCCTGGGGCAACTCTGACTTCCTCCGAAGCAGCACTTTTTCCTTCTTGATGTCCTTCAGCATCTACAAGTGGATAGGGAGAAGACAAGGAATGATGATCAATTCCCAAGGAATTGTATTTCCTTCTCTTATTCTTAGGTTCTGTTGCTCTTCTTTCCCTTCCAGACCTGTTAATTTCTACTCCACCTCCCCAGTCCTTACCCCTGGTGCCCTCCCACCTGCACAGCCTCTGTCTCCACCGTCCTCTTCAGAAGCTGGATGTCCTCTGCTGTAGGGGTTTCTGTCTCCATGGAGTACACAGGAGGCAAAGGTGGAGGAGCACGGAACATGGGATACTGAGGGAGGAGATGTGGATGAAGAGTTGAGAGCCACTTCAGAGGTTTGTGGGACTGTGTGTCTCATATTCTTCCACCAAAAATCCCTAACCCCTAGTTCCAGATGGGACCCTGAGTTCAGGGCAGTGGCATAAAAATCTCACCTGAGGATTAAGCCGGGCCAGCTCCTCAATCTTTTGCCACATCTCTTCTCTTTCCTTCATTCGGAACCGGCCCCTGAGGGAGCAAAAGTAGGAATGAGAGAACGAAAGTGTGCTGGAAGTAAAAAATGAAAGTCTTCCAGGGAGGGCTGGGATTGTGGCTCAGCGATAGAGCGCTCGCCTAGCACGGGCAGGATCCGGGTTCGATCCTCAGCACCACATAAAAATAAAGGCATTGTGTTGTGTCCATCTACACCTAAAAATAAATATTTAAAAATAAAATAAAACAATATTTAAAGAAAAAAAAAAAAGTCTTCTAGGGAGAGAAATACTCACTTCTGTTTCTCTGCCTTGTACTGTTGTGTGCAATCATCAAAGAGCTTCTGATTCATTTCCATAAACAGCTTCAGGGCATTGTAGATCAGTCCATGGATTGTCCTGCCACCCAGAAGAAAGATCACATGCAGGCCAGAGCCTACCCTTAATGCCTGGGCCCCATGTTTACTTGTTTATAGGAGGTGTCTCTACCAACAGCTTTTTCATTTACTACCCCCATTTCCCAAACCTTTATAAGCAGATAGTTCTAGCCAAATTGTGTGACTTAAGACTAGCATTTCATGATCTTTGCAAATACTGATCTACCTGTCTATACTTCCCCTATCCCATACTCCAAAAGTCTTCCTTCTTTACACCACTTCCGACTCTAATCCACACTAATGGCCTCCCAGCAACACAATGGACTGAGTGTACCATACTATATGTTTGCTCTCAGCAAGAAGCTTTTTTTTTTTTTTTTAAACAACTCTTAGATTCTATGAATGCTCTCTAAATGGATCACATCAGCTTCTCCCAGCATAGAATTGTGTCTTCAAAGCTGTAACATACCTGTGGAATACCTGACCCCAAAGAGCAATGTACAGGCCACTGCTCTGCTATTTGATATCCCAGAGATCTCTCATACAGGCATCTTTTCTCTCTATTCAGTCCCTCAAGGATCTACCAATAAACAGTGGGCATCAGCCCCACTTGCTGAGTGATCAGGTGAGATTCACACCTTCAAAGGTTCCAAAACCAGATCCCCACACCCAGCCCCAGCCCAGCCCCATACTTGTTCCAGTGGCTCTTGGAGTTCCTGTAGAGTGCAGGGAACATGATGGGGAGGACTCTGGCAGCATTGTCACTTATCAGGCTCATGATGTATTCATTATTCCAGTAATAGAGAGCACGCTCTGCCACCTGGTGGAGAGAGGTGGGACTCAATGGAGGCACTATCTACCTGCCTTACTCAAGATCTGCTAAATTCCTGGGAGCCTTGGATATGCTGAGTTTGGCTTCACCTGGAAATGGGGGCTGGAGACACACTTGGCAAGCTGACGGAAGAGTGGTTCCATCACTTTGCTAAATTCTGAGGGTTCAATGACATCCAGAATCTCCTCTAGTTCATTCAGGAACATCACCTCCTTGGGGCTGTGAGTCTTGGGCCAAAACTTAAGAAGTCCCACAATCACCTGTTGTGAGAAGAAGACGTAAGGATAAAATTCTTAATACTGTCTGGTTTTCTGGGAAGCTTTCCTGCCTCTCTTCCCCACCCTTAGCCTTGTGGGCAGAGTTTGGGTAACCTCAGCTAACGGCTCATGTTTCTTTGGCTTGGATCTGCTTCCTAAGTGTATATAGATTTCATTTCTCATTCAGGGAGGAAACCATGTCACCTATCAGGCCACAGCCCTCCTGAGCACCTACTTACGGCATTGCTCAATTATAAATTGGTAAGCAATGCTGATGACAATAAAAGGTTGACTTGGGCTCAGAAGGGGAATTACCGGCTCAGTCAGACTGCTCTCCTTCTCCAGGAATTGTACCACACAGTAAGCCAACTGCAAAAGGTTGAGGTAGAAAGGAGGTGAAATTAGGGCCAGACGGTCTCACAATTCAATGACAAAAACAAGATCCCAAAATGGAAGGGGAAATATAAAGGATTTATCCCACCCATTCCCTGTGCCATAACTATCCCAGCAGAAATACCTTCCCTCCCCTCCTTGTCTTTCCTGCCCAAGTTGGGGATCATCAGGAGGAAGGCACCTCACCTGAGGGTGGTATACACTCAGGGACTTGACTTTGTGAAGCGGAAGCAGGACACGGATGAGAAACATCTTATGCTCTTCCTTAAGGGGTAGGGCAAAGCCATTGATGATACTAGGAGTTAATGGAGGTTTTTTAAGACCAAATAGCTAGATCCAAGTTCAATGTACCAGTCCTCCCAACCTTTTTCAGGTATCTATGTTCCTCTACTCCACCTCTCACCTGCCCAAGATCTCCAGGAGTTCAGCAATCCCATTGTGATGCTCTGTCTCATAGATGAACCTGAGAGGAAGAAAATGGGCTCTCTTGACACTAACCCTGATGTCCCTCCTGCATTCTGCAGAGTCTCCATTATCTCGCTGCTCCCCCTCTCCTCCCTAGCAAAGGCTTGCTTTGATCCTAAGTCTGGGCTCATGAACTCACCTATAGAAGATGTGGTTGATCTGCCTACGGATATAAGCCCGGAGCCCCAAAAACTTGCCATAGATACGATGCAAAATGGTCTTGAGAAAGTCCCGCTCTCGAGGATCCTCACTGTCAAATAGGTCCAGGAGCTGGAAGCAGGAGGGAGGAAAGGCAGCAAGTGAGGCAGCAGCCAGGGAAGGCTAGGGCTAGGTGACAGGGTCTTAGCCAGGGGAAGCTTCCAGGTTTTCTGGAGAAAGGGGAATAAGGACAAGTGTCTGGAAAGCAGAGTAATTCTATTCTACTGATCTACTCCAAGTGGTATCTGGCCATGCATGTATATGTGTGTGTGTATATTTACAGTGTCTAAATTCGCTGGGA